TTAGCACAGAGTTACATTTGCCCAGTGATAGCTCATGCCCTTTTAGAACATTGATTTCAGTAAAGTCTCAGACTTCTGAAAGTCAGGAAGGCAGAGTTAAGGTAAACTCATGCAACCTTAATTTTGCCCTCTTTGAGCGATGCCCCAATATGTCCATAACACACATGCTCCTACTCTTTCTTTTCCCTGTAATGGACAGCTGCATTTGCTGTACACTCAAACACCCAGCCTGCTGCCTCAACAGAATACAACACTTGTAATATTTAAAAACTACTTTATACTCTTTTTATAGCCCCTTCACACTTGCACGTAAGATACCACCTTAACCTATTTTCCCCTACCCATCATTAAAGCCACAGATGGCTCTCGTATCTGGCCTTACTACTAACAGTATCAGTGCCCTGCCACTGACACAACCTGTACAATTCTGTATTGAAAAGATGCAGAGTGGAAACTCAAGGTATATATACACCTCTTTCCTTTCATAAAACACATGCGGGGGAGAGGACTCAGACCCAGATCTTCTCATATTGCACTCGCAGCTCTGTGATGCTCCTCAAACTAATCCCCAGGTCTCCTAATATCACAGTCACAGCTCTTTCAAGCTGCTCCACCTTATTCCTCTTCCAATGAATCTACACCTAACACAGTGAATGCAGCAAGAGTGCATGCAGATCATCCTCAGTGCTATTGTCACCTCCGTGGGTGTAGAGTTAAGGTTGCATAGGCATTTACTGGCTTTCAGAAGTTTGAGTTTTGCTGAACTTAATGTTCTGGGAGGGCATGAGCTATTACCAGGTAACCTTAACTCTGCTTTAACAAAGTGTTTTGCCATTTAATAGATTGAGCTCCTTGAGTCTCTCACTATAAGGCATGTTTTCCAATCCTTTAATCATTCTCATGGCTCTTCTCTGAACTCTCCAGTTATCTGCATTCTTCTTGAATTGTGGACATCAGAACTGGACACAGTATTTTAATGATGGTCTACACTAGTGCCAAATAAAAAGGTAATGTAATCTTGATACTGATATTTCCCTGTTTATACATCCAAGGATTGATTTAGCCCTTGTGGCAACAGCATTGCACTAGGAGATCATGTTCAGGGGATTCTTCACCATGAACCCCAAGTCTTTTTCAGAGTCACTGTTTCCTAGGATAGAGCCCCCATCCTGTAAGTAGTACTACATTCTTTGTTCCTAGATGTATGACTACATTTGTCCATATTATTATTAGTATTATAATAAATGTGTATTATCATAGCACCTAGAGAGCCTGGACCCCATTTGCTAGGCACTGTACAAATATAGAACAAAAAGACAGCCTCTGCCCCAAAAAGCTTTCTCATTTTTGTCTAGTTCCCTCTTTTGAAGTTAAATGCTATTGTGGTGTGTTTCTTTGGTATTTTTCCTTCTACAAGGATGTTAAATTTAATTACATTATGGTCACTGTTATTGAGTGGTGCAGCTATTCTCATCTCTTGGATGTGCTCATGTGTTCCATTTAGGACTAAATCAAGAATTGCCTCTCCCCTTTTGGGTTCCAGGACTAGCTGTTCAAAGTAGTAGTTATTAATGGTGGCTAGAAATTTTATTTCTGCATCCCCTTCTGAGGTGACATTTCCCAGTCAATATGGGGATAATTGAAAACCTCCATTATTATTACGTGTTCAATTTTGTAGCCTCTCAAATCTCCCTGAGCATTGCACAGTCACCGTCACCGTCCTGGTCAGCCGTAGGCAGTATGTTTCTGCTGCTGTACTCTTATTATTCAAGCATAATATTTTAAAATTTTTATCTATAGAGATTCTGTGGTACAGTGTGATTCATTTAAGATATTTTACTATATTTGAGTTTATGCTTTCTTTGGCATGGAGAATTATGTTAGCCGATGTTGCCAAGTTAACATTTGCATGATATTAATAAGGCTTCAGAAATGATGCCTAGTTAATTACTCTCTTGACTAAAATACCCCATTGAGGCAAATGAATAAAAACCTAACACACTTTTTGGTTTTACATAAATAATAAATGGTGATGAATAGGAATAGTTTGTATTTTTGAGCTATTTTATCATGTAATTCTGGGTTGCAGTCTTGTGAAATCTCAAGCTAAGCAGTTACTCCTGTGAATCCTTGGATGGGAAACCTCCAAGGAAAACATGGTGTGCCTCAAGATGGTGCTGGAGCTTTAGCAGCTTGGCCAATCAGTGTTCAAGTGCAGTGTTGGGAAGCATTTTGCTGTGCAGATGCTATATTTCAGGTGAGATGTAAGCAAACAAAATCTGAAGTCATGACCATTTGTGATCACTAAAAATTTCATTTCCCTTTTTGCAAGAGGGTAAGGGAGCTAGTCTGATCAAATTCTAAATTGTGTAATAAGGTCCACCTACCTAAATTCCTCTGTGGTTCATATTGGATGAGGAATTCTTCAGTTTTAACAATAGACACACACTTCTGCTTTATTATACCTTAGGTGTGGCTGCTTTTCTGTGGTGGCTGCAGGTATTTTTTTTTTTTCTATGATGCAAACCTATTTAGCCCTTGGGATCTTTCAGGACAGAAAATGTTATAGAAGTATGAAATACTGAAGCAGCAATACTACACTATCTGTTTATAGACACAAAAGACAGTGATGGACAGTACATTAGTTGCCATTCTGAAGATTATTTTTGCTACCTGATGAATTTGAAAAATGTAGTTTAAAAATGATAGTTTAGATAGAGAAAATGAGAATCTGCAGGAAGAAATACAGGACATTTTAAAAATCTCTGGCTGCAGACTTCTGTTTCCCTGATTATATCCTGGTGTCTGGAATATAACACTGTACTGTATTATGTGGTGTTGTCATTGTTGGTGGAAAACTGCTTTATTAATCTATGTGCTAGAAAAATAATAGATTAAGGAAAACTCTAGCTTCAGTCATTTTGGGATTTTCTGATTGCTGAACTTTAACACAAGATTAAATCTCTCCTATTTTAAAATGAGATTATACAGGGTGAACATCCTTGTTCTTATCCATGTTGATTAATGGGCTATATTTAGACTTCTGATACCGGGTTGATTAAAGGCTCTGTGTCAAATGTTATGTAATTCTTCCTTCAGACTACAGTGGATAAAAATAACTATAAATATTATGGGTTTTAATTTTGTTGTCATGAAAGGGATAATTTATTTAGCAGGAGAAGAGTGGTGTGTAGAGAGATGTGTGGTCTTCAGTCAAGCCTGGTGGATCTGTGCAATTTATAGCACTCAAAACAAAAAAGTGGCAGTGAGAATACTAGCCTAGCCTGTAGAGAAGATGATCAGCTGTGGACAAAATTAATTTGCTAGTGGCCCTTTTTTCTTGTGTATTTTTGGATACTAATGAAGGTATTTCAGCCATTAGACAGATACGAAGCAGGTATGCACTATGCATATTTTATTGTTTTTTGTCCTGTGTGTTACTTCAGTTGTTCCTTTTTATAAAGTTGAGAGTACCCGCTTTCTTAGTGCTCGGTCTCTTGAGAGGATAAAATCAATCACAAAAAGTATCCTTCCCTACTCTCCAAAAGACAAAAGTAATTGATAAACTCCAGCATATTATAGTTTAACAGTGTTTTGGTTTCTACCTTAAAGTAATAAATGTTTTCTATTTCTGTCTGAGTCTGAATTTGAATTGTCTGCAAAGCAGCAGTATCCTGTTGAGAGACATACTTTATAGTGCCTTATAGTGACAATAAATCTAACTTTAGTAACATTAAAATTGATTTTATGTAACTAAAAAAAACCCTAAGACATGATTATTTAAAAAAACATTTTCTCTTGTTTTCATTTCTTTTAAGTGTTATGACCATAGGGATGCATAGTTTAACAATGACATTAAAGTAGTTTTGTTTCTGAGCTAGAAATAAATGATTTCTGTTGGGGGAAAAATATTGTTACTAGCTGAGAAATGACAAGCTACATTTTTACAACAAAAGATGCTCCCAGTAGCCCTCCCATGTAAAGCCACTTCTGGTCATCCCTGCCAATTTCAAACAGCTTTCAGAATGTAAAGATATTGGTATGGTTCCACCTCAGAAGACTGCCTATCAGCAAGACGTAGAATTGGTATAACTAGATGTTAATGCGTAGCTTCTGTTTCTCTCTTTTTGGTTTCTAGAGCTGTGCAGATATTGGAATTTTGGTTCATTGGCAGTTCTGAAAAATAAAATAATTAAAAAAAAAAAACCCTTAAATTTTTTTGTGTGTGCATCAAAAAGTCAAATTTCATTTCAGCGTGATGAGCATTTTAATTAATTTATTTTTTATTAATAAAAATAATATTGAAATGAAAAGTTGTTTCAAACTGAAAAATCAAAACATTTTATTTAGAAAATGTCAAAACAAAATGCTTTGATATTTTTCAGACTCTTTTTATAATTGTTTCAATAAAAAAATGTAAGTGTTTGTGTTGCTTAATTTGCATATTGTGTGTGTGTATGTGCATGCGCGCCGGGAGGTGGTTGGCCAATAAATTTCACCCAACCCTATTTAGTACATTATGACAGTTCAGTAATTGCTAGAATTATGGTTGGCATATCCACTCAAGTTTCTTTTAGAACTAATATACCTCACATTTTGTAAAAAGGAATTTAGGACCCAGTCCTATGATCTTTACTCCACCAAAGCTAATGTTGGCTTCATTTGGAGAATCATCTGAGTGAGGAGGGTGTGCAGGATTGACTCTTAATTGTTGTTTTTTTTAAAGAGTGAATCTGTAAAATCTCTCTTTAGAGCATGCCATAAATTAAAGGGAAATGGAGTCTATTTCATTCACTCTGTTTATATGGTGAGGAGTATTTCTTGCATTGTTCCATATAAATTGAATTGAATTTTAGATTTATTCAGATCAGCGTTTTGTTTTGTTTTTAGTCTCAGTATTACTAACCCAGTCCATTCAGGCCAGCATAAATTTATAGTATAAATTCTGTAACTTAGTTTTGTTGATTAAAATATTCTGAGTGTTGGTGTGTGTTTTGCAGAATGCTGACCTTTGAGAAAGAAAGGTGTAGTGTATTGAGCCATTCTTAATATAGGACTGAAAATGCCACCAGGTAAGAACTTCTACATTTTTAATTTCCAAAATGCATTTTATTCTTAGAATTGGGTATTAATGTTCAATTACTTCCACCAATTGATCTTTAGTGATGCCTTGGATTAATTCTTGGTCAATGCTCACAGCTGTTTTTATGTTATGTTATGTTTTGTTTTGTTTTATGAACTTTTTTATTTAACATTTGTAGGGTTTATAAAATTGATAGTTAATATATGAAGCAATGTATTTGAGAATTGTCTTGTCACGTACAATAGATAGATAGATGATTCCACATATATTGCTTCTTTGAGTTATCTTCATTTGGTTGCCATTGTAAATGGGAACTTTTTCTCAGTTTCACGAGGTAAAATAAAAGTCTTGATTAGTGTAATTCATCTACGGTGAAAATGCTGCCTTCTGTGCCTAAAAGTGTAATCAGGTGCTGTTGTAATTAACCTAATTATTTGAGCCAATTAATCTTATTTTAACTTTTTTTCCAGCGGAGAGTGAGGCAAAGGCAAAAACCAAGGTTCGCTTTGAAGAAATATTCAGGAGTCATTCTGGGCTAACAGAAAAAAAGAAATCAAAGAAGCAAAAATTTCATTCTCATGAGAATATTGTGGTGAGTTTGATAATCTGAGAACAGTGATTCTGCTTGCTTTGGTGGAAAAAATCTCACCTCTCTCAGCAAAGGAAGTATACTTCATCCCTCCCAACAAAAAGGAGATGCTGTAAGCTTCAGCAAGCACTATGAAAAGAAAACATGGTGTTTGCTTCATAATAGATACCTTTCATTTTTAATGTATGACTTTTATTCATTATTGATGTCCATGCTGAACAATAAGAGTAAACCACAGTAGTTTACAACTTACCGTGACCTTGATATACTAGTCATGTAATTCAAGGTTAATGTTAAATGGTGCCTCCTGGCATGCCTATAGTTAAAATTGTGTCAACCTATTCTGATCCACCACGTTTTTCAGTAGAATTTTGGGGGCCATCCTTCAAGCTTTCCAAATTCACATTAACTTCAGTGAGAGTGTCATGTGTGAAGGGCTTGCAGGATCATTCCCACAGTAATACTAGTAGTTAGCTCTTTGAGCAAATACCTCATGTCTATGAATTTTACAGATGCTTATCAGTTGTCTAGTTGGTAACAGAGGTAAATGTCAACTTCATTAAATTTTCCAAAGCTAGTATCATGAAGATAAGAATATGCAAACAAAATGACATCAAACTAGAACTCCCTCTCCTCTTTCCCACTCATTTCTCTGCTTCTGAACAGCACTGAATATGACTCTTCTCTCCTCCCATCCTCCAGGTTGTTGTCATCTAACATCCACCCAACTCTTCCCCAACAGCCTTCCTCTCTTGATTTTGATTCATGGCGCTCTCTTTTCCTCTTCTCACAATCATTTGTGTTCATAGAATCATAGAATATTAGGTTTGGAAGGGACTTCAGGAAGTCATCTAGTCCAACCCCCTGCTCAAAGCAGGACCAATCCCCAGACAGATTTTTACCCCAGTTCCCTAAATGGCCCCCTCAAGGATTGAGCTCACAACCCTGGGTTTAGCAGGCCAATGCTCAAACCATTGAGCTATCTGCCCCGTTTTCTTCAGCTTCCATGGTGATGGTCCATCTGACTCCTAACTCCGTGGTTTTCAACCTTTTTTCATTTGCGGACCCCTAAAAAAATTTTGAACAGAAATCTTAGACCTAGTCTGTGGACCTCCAGGGTGAAAAACACTGTTTTATGGTAATGACAACCTTTCATGGACTCCTTAGACATAGTCTGCGGATCCCCAGGGGTCCGCAGACTACAGGTTGAAAACCGCTCGCCATCACCTCTTCATTCAATTTGCAACCCTGATCAACACTCCCACTCACTAAACTGGCCACTCATTTGACTTGGATTCCACCAACAACTGCTCTCATTTATCTCTCTGTTGCTGAGTTCCCCGTACAGCCAGTAAAAGCTGGCAAATTACAGGAACATCAACACGGTCTATTGGTGGCACAAAAAGCTGCCCGTGGCAGGGCTCAGACCTTAGTTCCTTAGACAGCTCCAGCCTGTACAACCTTAATATATGCCACTGGTACGAATGCATTATGATACCATCTTTAATTACATGATCACATATTATTTTTTTTCCACAGGACCCCTGCTTCATTCAGTGCACAGCATGGATGGTACTCACTCAGTTGGTAGCTGGTCAATATTTAATTTCATTCTCAGCCCTCAGTGTGTGGCCTCAGACCTTATTGCATACCTTTCAGAGCCTGTTCTGAATACAAAATTATTAACTTCCTCGTGGGCCTTTTTTGGTGCTTATCACCATGGAATCAGAGTGCTTCACAAATATTAATTAATTTATTTATTTTCCAAATACCCCTCTGAGGTAAGTTATCATCCCCATTTTACAGATGGGGAGCAGAGCACAGAGAGATTAAGATCAGAAGTGTCCACTAATTTTGGGTGACCAACTGGAATGCATCTACCAATAAGGCCTAAGGACTGATTTTTTTTCAGAGTATTTAGCATTTTATAGCACTTTATCTGTTTAGAGTACGGCTTGCATTGACTTCAGTTGTAGGCCCCAGATGTCTAAAGTTGGTCACTGAGAAAATTAGGAACACACAAGTGACTTGCCCAGCAACACACAGGAATTCTGTGGCAGAGGCAGGAATAGAATCCATTTAAGCAGTGTGGCAATTAAGTGCCTTAACCGTGACACCATCTTTTTATTACATACCTTCCAACTTCTACAACAAATGAGGCAGAGGTCCTACAGACAACAATTTCTTTCACTGCATAATCCTGATCCAGCCCCAAAGCACTATCCTTCCTTCTTACTGAATGAGGCAGGGGTCCTGTGAATAGAATAGTATGTGATCATGTAATAAAAGTCTGTATCATAATGCATACATACCAGTGACATGAATTCAGGTTGTACAGACTGGCGCGGTCTGAGCCCAGCCACAGGTAGCTTTTTGTGCCACCAATAGAGTGTGTTGATGTTCCTGTAATTTGCCAGCTTTTCGGGGACAGTGTTTGATATAGTTAGGAGGAGCTTCTGTTTTGCTAAGAGTTGTGGCTAAATTTAAGTGGACAAAGGGGTTTGTTGTTCAAATTAGGGATATATGTGTGTGTGGGTGCTGTAGATGATGAACTGCACAAAGTTTACAAAAAATGTAACACACCAGTCAAAATATCTCCGGTGTGATTTTTTTGAGATTTCTTCAATGGAACACTTCTTAGATATCAGGATAATTTCAGAAAATCACAGACATGTAAATGATTAATTCCAAGTTTATTTTCTGAAAGAAAACTGCTTCCTCAGCTACAGAAAAGGAGTAAGGTCCTGTCAAAGACAAAACAGTGACATAACCTTGACTATGGTGTCCCTATTGTTCCTCTATAATAATTTGTCTGATAAATAACTTCATCCATCATACTTCATGGGTAAAACCTGCTCAGTAAAAATGCAGATAAGGAGGTGGGGTAATCCATCCAAAATCAGTTGATGTTTCTGTATGCTTTGCCTTTTTTTGTTTTGTATGTAATTTGCTGCATTTTTTAGCCACTGTGAAAATATTTTTCCTTTCTTTCTTTTATCTGTCACTCTTAAAGTTACCTGTACATAATCTGCCACATCCTTTTAGATTGTTGGCTTTTGTATGGAAAGGATGTTATTGGACTAACTAGCAGGAAAAGGTTAAATTCATATGATGATGAGTATTTTCATGATTAAATACTACATAGTTTTAAGTACTCTCTATGTAACTAAAAATACAGACACTGACAAGATGTGTGAATACAGGGCTGGCCTTAGGTTTTTTGCTACCCTAGATGAACATCATTGCATGCAGTCCCATTCTCTATCCTTCTGTCACCGCCTGAGGGGCTCGAGGCGGACTTCAAAGGGTCCGTTGG